ATGTTGTTCAACAGATGCCTAAAAGTGCAGCATATAGAAAATATACAGAACAGATTACAAATGAGAAGCTGAGTATGGTGAAAGTGGAATCAGATGTTAAAAAATTAGAAGACCAGCTTCAAGGTGGCCAAATAGAAGAGGTGATTCTTCAGGCTGAAAATGAACTAAGCTGGCAAGAAAAATGATGCAGTGGAAACCATGGGAGCCATTAGTGGAAGAACCTCCTGCCAACCAGTGGAAATGGCCAATATAATCATCTAAAATTATGTGATTTTGATAGGTTGATGGGAAACTGATGTAATTAAATATTCTATTATATTAAAAAATAATTTCAATTTTGTATATTTTTTTCTCTAATTTATTATTATTGTTATTATTTACTCCCAGTAATTTGGGGTTTGGTTTGCTGTTGTTTTTCTAGGCCCTTGAGATGCATTGATAACTCATTTATTTGGTGTCTTTCCAATTTCTTGATGTAGGCACCTATTGCTATAACTTCTCTCTTAATACTGTTTTTGTTGTATCTCATAAGCTCTGATATGTTGTCTTGTTGTCTTCATTCAATTCAAAAATTTTTTTATTTCCCTTTTGGTTCCTTCTATGACCCACTGTTCATTCAGGAGCATGTTGTTCAGTCTCCATATGTTTGCATATGTTATCGAGATTCTTGAGTTGTTGGTTTTCAGCTTCATTCCATTGTGATCAGAAAATACACATGGTATGATTTCAATTTTTTTTAATTTGGTTAGACATGCTTTATGGTGTAGCATATGGTATATCCTAGAGAAGGTTCCATGCACTGATAAAAAGAATGTGTATTCTGCAATTGTTGGATGAAAGATTCTGTGGATATCAGTTAGGTCCATTTAGTCCATATTGTCAATTAGCTCTGTTGTTTCTTTGTTGATTTCTATCTGGTTGTTCTGTCCATTAATGAAAGTGGGATGTTGAAGTCCTCTGTTACTATTGTATTAGAGTCTGTCTACTTTTAGAGCCATTGACATTTCTTTTATATAGCCAGGCGTCCTGGCATTGGTGCATATGCATTTATTATTGTCACACCTTACTGTTGAATTGATCCTTTAATCATTAGATAGTGCCATTCTTTGTCTCTATTAACAGTTTTTGTATTAAAGTCTATTTTGTCTGATATTAGAATGGAAACACCTGCCCTTTTTTGCTTTCCATTAGCATGGAATATCTTTTTCTATCCTTTCACTTTCAGTTTGCATGTATTTTTGTTGGTGAGGTGTGTTTCTTGTAGGCAGCAAATAGCTGTGTCTTGGATTGTTTTTTAATCCATTCAGCCAGTCTGTATCTTTTCATTAGAGGATTTAGGCCATGTGCATTCAAGATTATTTTTCCTAAGTAAAGGCTTGGCCCTGCTGTTTTTCCATAAATATCCCTATTGTTTGCATTTGATTTCCTTTGTACTTTTACTGGGAGGATTTCTGCCTTCATATTCTTTCTTAATGATGACTATTTTTTCTGCATTTCTCATGTAGACATCCTTAAGCATCCATTAGGCTGGATGAGTAGAGACAAATTCTTTATATTTCTGCTTGTTATAGAAGGTCTTTATTTCAATCATAAATGAGAGCTTTTCAGGGTACTGTATTCTTGGTTGGCAGTCTTTTTCTTTCTAGCCTATTCAAATTCTGATAAGAAGTCAGCTGTGAGTCCAGTTGGACATCCTGTGAAAGTTATCTGCCATTTCTCTTGTGCACATTTTAGAATCGTTTTATCATTTTTACTGTTTGTAATTTTTACTGTTGAAAGTTTAACTACAATTTGTGTCGTCATTAAGATCTTTTCTGGTCATGTCTATTGGGAGTTCTATGTGCCTTATATACTTGGACATCCTTTTCTGTCTTCAAATTAAGGAAGTTTTCTATAATTATTTTACTAAATAGGCCTTCTAATCCATTCTGTCTTTCTATACCTTCAGGAATTCCTAGAACTCAAATATCCAGTCATTAGATAATACCCCATAAATCTCTAACACTATTTTCAGTTTTTCTAATTTTTTCCTCTTTTTTTTTTTGTCTGACTAGGATATTTTCAAGGATTTGTCTTCTAGCTCAAATATTCTTTCTTTTGTCTCAACACATCTGTTGTTAAGGCTTTCCACTGTATTTTTTTATTTGACATACTGAATTCTACATTTCTAATATTTCAATTTGATTTGTCTTCAAAAATCTCAATCTCATGGGAAATTTTTTCAGCCATGTCATAGATTTAGTTAACCCAGAAATTTGCTTCTCATTGTTTCTGAGTACTATTATGATTGATCTTTTCAATTCCTTTACAGGAATCTCATCAATCTCATCATCTTCATGTTCTAATTTTGAATTGTTATGTTGCTTTGGGGGAGTCATGTTGTCTTCCTTATTCTTGTTTCTTCAATTTCTGCATTTATTTTTACACATTTGTGGAAATGCTTGTTGGTTTTCTCCTCTGATGAATTTTATCTTTGAACTATGCCTCTGTGGCTTAGCAGAGTATCTGCTCTTTCAGTTAATACCCAGAGGTGTGTGCTGGATATGGCCAGGGAGCTCTGGTCAGTGCTCCAGAGTGGGGCAAGTATCCGGGATGACACCCATGTTGGGCATGGTAGCCCTTCTTTAATGTCAGCAAGGGGAGAGTATGATCACCTCTGTTGATGCAATCATACCCTCACTTCCTCTCCTCCAAGGTGCTTAATACTCGTGGTTAGTCCGCAGTGGTTGCAACTCTCACCCATGCTGCTGCGTGAACCCCACAAAGGAACTGTGCAGTCCTCAGTGTAAGCATGGATCCTGCCGTAATGACCCACCCTAGGCAGTTAGTGAGCTCTGAGCCTCTGGTGCCAGACACAGTGATTACCCAGAGACCCAGCTACACCCTGTGCTCACAGAGTTCCCAGAGGCTCAGAACACAATGCTCCCACAGTCATGGGGTGCAGAGGATCTGCTCTGCTCCACTAGCCTGTCCCACCCATGGAGAGAGCAGAGATGTTCCCAGAGCCAGCTGCCTATGGGTGCACCAGCCTGGTGGTTTGAGCCCTGGAGCCTCTGGATATGTTGAGAGGCTGGGGGCACCTCCTGGTCCTACATGGGTGCCCAGCCCTTGTCAACTCTCCCAGCTAGTCTCAAAATCAGTGGGGAATGCTGATTTTTCCCTCTGGTAAAATCCCCCTATCACATGGATGCAGAAGAGCCACCACAGCCACTATTGGTGTCAAAATGGTGCCTTCTCCCTACTGGTTGCTGGGTGCCCTTGTTGGGGGAATGTGAGAAAATAATGTGCTTTGTTTTTCACTGGGTTAGGCAGGTACTCTGCCCTCCATTAAAGCAGACTCAAAGACATTGTGGTCAACCTGGCTCTCCTTCCAGCAGTATGACCCATGGCATGTACTGCTGCAGTCTGCTCTCACCTCACTCCCCAAAGCTAGTGTATCCTCTGGCTCTTGGCTGTGAGGATCATTTGTTTTGTCTACACTTGTTGCTGCATGCTGGCACCTTCCACACTGATCCACACTGTCTCTCTTCCTTCTGTAGAATTTCTTCTGCAGATGTCTCTCCAACTCTCCCCTGGGAATGTGCTTCCTCCACTTTTTTTTCCTTCTATTTTCCCCTCAACTAAAACAGAACATCTTTTCCCCTTTCAACCATCTTGGAATCCAGGTTTTTCTTATAAGTTAATGATGAACTCACCAAAAAAGAAATCTCATTTACAATACCTCAAAAAATCAAATATTTAGAAATAAATTTAGCCAAAGATGTGAAAATCTCTACATTGAAAATTATAAAACATGGATTAAATAAATCATCAAGGACATAAAATGGAAAGTTATTCATTGTGATTAGATTGGAAAAATTAATATAATTAAAATGTCTGTATTACCTAAATGAGCTATTTCATTACTAAAAAGTGGAATAGAGCTTTTAAAAATAGCCTAGATATTTTAGCTACCTCATGAAAAGTAAGGAAACTTCTGCCATATACTCTAATCATCCTAGGGATGCTGATCCCTAGACAGCCCTTGTACAAAAAACCTCTAATCTAGGTTATTCAAGACCAATGAATATATAATAGCCCAGCTATGAGGTGCTTTAAAGCAAGTCACACTAAATTCCTAGACAAATACAAGTGGCCAAATGAGAAAGTCAAACTGACCATTCAGAAATCTCTGCTTCCATCCCCAACTGTAAATCTACACATAGTCTTGAAGTGTGAACATCTTAGAGGCAGGAACCGTGAAAGAATCCTTTTAACTTGAAAGTTGACACTTTCAGATGTCTCAATACTCTATTAAGCAGGTTCCAGCAGCTTTTGCTTTTCCTGTCCATTCTTTTTTATTTTTTAAACATGAGTTAGCGGAACTTCTTGCCAGTTTTGTCAGGTTGGCATGTTTCAGAACCCAACATTCATATTTAGAATGTCAAATGTAGTTCATTCACTGTGTGTCTTTCATCCAAACTTCCTAGCTACTGCTCTAATCTTTCTCCAATTTTCTTTGTAACCCTCATGATGTCCCTATGATGTTGAAAGTCATGATCAAAAAAAAAAAAAAAACATGTCTGAGCTTTCTTTTCTGACCTTCTACCAATTTTCCCTATTCTTACCAATATTCATGTTTCATTTTTGGTCATTTATAACGAACTATATAAGTATCCTTACACCTTCAATATTATGAGACTAAACATTTTGTTTTAATTAGCAAAAATGTGTGGACAGCAATCTCACATTCTCATTGCCCTGCTAGTTCTGCATTCTTTCACAGTTCAGCAAAACTATTTGAAACAGTGATACAGACAACATTTCTGGGACAGCAGCCAGCTTTTCAGGCTTTGTGTGTTCATTATATTCCTTAATAATACTTGGAAGCCTACTCACTAGAACCCAAAGAAGAACGTGCCGTGATATGAGTAAAGCAAATAGAATGTTTTAATGAGAAGACACTTAATTTCACTTTGTGAAACTTTTTCACTCTAATGGAATCTTGTTCTCATTTGTAGTGAATACATCAATTGCCAATGTCACAGAAGTCAAAGAGAATATGACGTTTGGATCAACTTTAGTCAGTAACCCAAGAGGAGGGTTTCTGGTAAGGAGAAAAAAAAGAATTATATGTAATGACAACACAAATGCTATCATTGTAAATCTTCATAGAATCTTTTAGGTAATTTTCAATCTTCCGGTTTTTTAATTTTTTTAACAGGCATGTGGGCCCTTATATGCCTATAGATGTGGACACGTGCATTACACAACTGGAATCTGTTCTAACGTCAGCCCAACATTTCAAGTCGTGAACTCCTTTGCCCCTGTACAAGGTACAGATTTTATGCAATGTTCTTGCATGTTTGGAAAGCATAAACAATGAATGAGGACTATGTATACACAGGAGCATACCAAAAAGCTTGAAGTATTTTCTTGGCTACCGGCATTACCAATTTAGGTAATTGTTTGCTTTGCCAGTATATAACCAAACCTGACTGCTATTTCTGGAATTGATATTAGTGCAAATAACATTTACAGGGTCATGTTTAAACTTCACAGCTGAAGCTATTGCATTGCTTTTATTTGAAGGATGAGTCTCTTTGAGAAAACTTCATATGAGATATGAACAGAATGAGAACTGTTATATAAAATTCATTCCGAGAAAAAATACAGCCATAACCCTCATACAGTATTAAGTAAAATTAAGTAGAGATGGGTTTTATTTGATGAAAACACCAAACCATTACTTTTCTAAAACTATTTTTCCTGATTATAAAATCAATATGTCTACTTTGTAGAATGTCAGCTGTTTTTTTTTAAATTAGCTTCTTTCAGCCATGAAAACACTTCATATACCACCAAGAAGATAAATTCCAAATTTTCACAATGAACTCCTTTCATTGCAGAATGCAGCACTCAACTGGACATAGTCATAGTGCTGGATGGTTCCAACAGTATTTACCCCTGGGAAAGTGTTACACATTTCTTAAATGACCTTCTTGAAAGAATGGATATTGGTCCTAAACAGACACAGGTATGTGACTCTGAGTTTTGATTTCTGTTGTTATAATGATACAAATACACAGAGCTTCAATTAAACAAATTATTCTGAAAAGTAATTAGTAAAATGAAAACAAAGGATGAATAGTATATCCCATGTCCCTATTTTTATTTATGGTACAAGAGACATTATTCAGATACTATTATTTTTTGCAAACACAGAAAGCTGCCATTTTCAGTGCTCTTAGAAAATATCCTCTGTCAGTCCTTGTAAAGTAATAATTTAATTGATTTTTAAATTACAAAATGAGTATAACCATCATTGGTAATACCAGAAAAGGTTTCAAAGTCTATAGAAATAATCTGACATCCCAAAGAACCCATCACATTATAATCTTCTTTCTCATACAAAAATTTGTAACTTGCCACAAGGTAATGCTTGAAGTCTGTTTTCTTCTATATTAATATTTTCTTTCCACTTGCCATGGAACTCCAAATTCCATTAAGTTGGTACGTACCAATGCCATCTTACTAGTTAAAGTGATCAGTTTAAGTTCATAACTGATCGTGAAGATAGGATTAAGTGTCAAAGGGATCACATAAGTAAAACCAAGTGTCTGCTAATAATAATAGATAGAATTAAAAAGGAGAGCATGAGCCAACATGGGAAGCAGGCCACACAGCAGACTCATAGAATGACAAATGCCCTAAACAGCTCTCTGGCCTCAGAATCAGCCCTTAAGGCATTCAATTCTGGCTAAGAAGCCCATGAGAGTTTCTCAGGCATGGAAAACCAAGACACTGTGTCAAAAAAATGACCTAAATGAAAGATCTTTGTGAATGAGATCCCAGTGGAAAGAAGGGACCATCAAGGAAGGTGGTGCCTTTCTCTGAAGGGAGGAGAGAACTTCCACTTTGATTATGGCCTTGTCTAAATAATGTCAGAGTTTGTGAACTCAAGAGGCTTCCATAGCCTTGGCAGCTCATGACAAGAACCTCGGGTGATCACTGATGTCATAAATAAGAGTTTCCTGTCTCTACCTCTCTTTGTAACTCTGTCTTTCAAATAAATAAAAGAAGTCTTTAAAAAAATTGTTAAAAAAATAAGTAGAGTGTCAATTGTTAAATCAACAACAGGAGTCACTGTGCACTTGCTCCCCATGTAGGGCCTCTGTCCTTAATGTGTTGTACTATGAGAATTAATAGTAAAACTAGTCTTCAAATAGTACTATTGAAATCTTTACTCAGTATAGAGTTGATCTTCTGTATATAAAGATAATTAAAAATGAATCTTAATGAAAAATGGGATGGGAGAGGGAGTAGGAGGTGGGAATGTTTGGGGGTGGGAGGGCGGTTATGGGGAAACAACCACTATAATCCAAAAGTTATACTTTTGAAATTTATATTTATTAAATAAAAGCTTTCTATAAAAAAGTTAAAAATATTTTCTTTCCTTAAGTAGAAAGTAAATTCTCCAAGCTCTCATTGCAGAAAATCAAAGAGTGGGTTTTTTCTATTTTTATGAATATAATTTCTCATTTAGCTTTTCCATTGTAAATACTAGCTTGTGTTTAGCTGTTTTAATGTTTAATAAACATTAATAGTCTTGTGGTTTAAATTGAGCAGATAAAATGAATAACAGGCAAATAAGATACTGAAGTGAACAGTAGCTAGAGGGAAGGAATTAGAATTAGAGTCAGTCTCAAAGATTTGGGGACATACTTTGGGGAATTTGGGAGAACATAGGGGATTTTTGGACTCTATAGGCAGTACAACATTCTTCCCTTTCCTTTTTGAGAATCCCACTATAGAGAAATTTTTGAGGTACTGAAAAAGCTGTCTTACTTCATCAGTGTTTGTCACATTCACTTTAAAATGAAGACATACTACATATATATGTTTTAATATACATACAAGTTACTTCAAAAAGATGTTTATTTTGGTGCAAATCATTTTAAATCCATACGTAGTTTTTTCACAGTATGCACTTTCCCTGAATGTTTCAAAGACCACTCATATGCATAGTGCATGGACACAGGGCACTTCAAAAAGTACATGGAAAATGGAAGCAAAAGATAAGTTTGTGCTGGTGCAAAAATGTTTGAAATCTGTGCACATGAGGGATCTTCAAAAACCCATGGAAAGTTATGAAAAACTATATATTGATTTTAAACATTTTTGTCCCCAAATAAAACTTATGTTTTAATTGTATTTACCAGAAAGTTTTTGAAGTACCATGGTTCATAGATTTGTCCTGCCCTCCAACCCCCTCCACCAAAAGATATGTAGTTGAAGATGTCAAATTAAATATCACTCCTCAAAGTGAAATGTCTTATTGCTGTGTTCTATGGCCAAATAGATCTGTGTAGAGAGCTACTTGAAGGGTAAGGCTATGGATATACCATTAGGTCAGAGAGAACTTCCTGAAATCTGTGCAAACTCATTTTGTAAAATGGGCTTTGACACATCACCAAGTGAGTTTTCCTGTGTGCAACTTCTCATCTGCAATTGAACTTCTCAACTGTGTACTAAAGGTTGAGAAGGGATATTGTTTGTTTCTTGCCACAGGGCAGACAGCAGCCTGCAAAACCCGAAGACTACCCTAGAATTCTTGCTTGTTTTTCCTGCTGACACGTGTTCCACATGGACAATTTTTGTCCCATGTGAAGACCCCCTCCCCCTTCCTCTTTTCCTCTCTTCTCCTATCCATTTCTCTATGGTCCATAAGATTTCATGGAACCATAAAATTAAACCTTAAAAGAATCCAAAAGGTCACTGAACCCCAGACCTCAGTTTATGAGGGGGATGTGAGAGGCTGTATGCCTGATTTCAGGCCACCTTGTTTGTTGCTGATGGATCAGAATACACAGCTCTCCAGTTGCAGCTCAGTGTTCTTTGCTTCTGGAGAAGCTTCAGAGCTGATCCCAACACCTAACATCCATAAAGAGTAGGCCTTTATCCTTGTCCATCCCATGAGAACTGCTTTTATGCTTCCCCAGGAAGCCCCGTGGCCGGGCCATGCCAGGCTTCTCTGTGTTGCACCCCCTCACCACTGTCATACCTGACATGAAACTGCTTGGTCACAGTTCTTCTCCTGTCTCATCACTTCCCCATGATGGGCTGCATTTTCTTCTATCTGTCTTGTCCATCCCATTTTACCTTTTAACCCAATCCTTTCTTTCTGAAACTAGTAATATTCTTAGAATATTTTTAAACTTCGGGCTGGCACTGCGGTTCACTTGGCTAATCCTTCGCCTGTGGCGCCAGCACTCCGGATTCTGTCCTGGCTGCTCCTCTTCCAGTCCAGCTCTCTGCTGGGGCCCGGGAGGGCAGTGGAGGATGGCCCAAGTGCTTGGGCCCTGCACCTGCATGGGAGACCAGGAAGAAGTACCTGGCTCCTGGCTTCAGATCGGCGTAGTTCCGGTGTGGCAGCCATTTGAGGGGGGTGAACCAACGGAAGGAAGACCTTTCTGTCTGTCTCTCTCACTGCTAGCTCTATCTGTCAAATAAATTTTTTAAAAAAAGAATATTTTTAAACTTCAAATATTTTATAGCCATTTAAATGTTTTATTTTACCTTTAAATTTGCATTATCTATTTTACTCTGAAAATTAACTTATTTGTAGCTATTTGTGAAAAATAGTACAGCTGTGACATGTTCAAAGCTGCTGCAGCAACTTCAGGCAGAAAATCTCCAAGACAACTTCAGGATAGCAATCCCTACCACGGTGAAGATCTGTGCCAGTGGCTAAGTTTTATAAAGAGATAGATTACAGTAAATTTCATATGTGCTGATCCCATTCTGCTGCAGTTTTGATGTTATTTTTAATGACTAAAACTCTAACTAATTTGCATTTCTGTAAAAAGAATCCTACAAGAGGAGCTATTCTGCCTGTCCATGAAGGAATTCTAGCCTGCCGAGATGGGCTTCATGGAGTTACATGTCTTTCTTCATTCAGAAGAATAGGGGCTAGCCCCTGGGGTCTAGATGCTACTGGTAAAAAGGGAGGGAAATGAACTTATCCCAGTGCAGAAGAGTTGAGTCACGGAAGAGTCTATCTAGTCCAGGATCCCAATCCACAGAGAGGAACATTTCTTAATGCAATATTGTGCACATTGTCATTTGTTCTGTCTTCTGATTTTACTGAAAAGAACCTGCTTCCAAAAGAGAGGAGCTGATTATATTCCTGAATTCTCATTCACATTCTGCTTTTATCAGTCATTGTGCAGCTTTACCATACTCATTCATTCATTGTTCATATGTTCACTCAGGACTTATTCTGCACCAGCCTACATTGCTAGGGCTTAGGCAGTAGTAGAGAAAAAAAGACCCATGTGGCCACTGCCTTAATGACAGTTATGTCTAATGTAGTGTTTCTCCAAATACAGCTCTTAGAATTCTTGCTCCAAGTCACTGGGTATAGGACTGCACTGCCCAGACTTTCAGAAACAGAATGTCTGAGGATGGAGCTATAGAACTTGATTTTAAATAGGGGATTCTTATGCTTCATACAGATTAAAGTTTGAAAAACAGTGGATTAATGCATTATTACTACACTGATGTGTGTATATCCCTGTATTTGCTGCATACTTTGGATTACAGGAGGCTCAAGAGTAAACGCTGTATCTTCTTCCTATCTTAGTCAATGTCCAGTCCATTACTTTGCTGACATAGTAAGCCCAAAATGAGCACTTGTTGAAAAATGAGCATATCACAGTGAGCAGTTTTATAATTTTCTCTCACCAGCAGACATTTATTGAGACTTCTTCCTGCAATGTGAGCTCTTAATATTCTTCTAAGTATATAAGTATTTAAATTTATTTATTTATTTGAGAGGTGAGAGAGAGGAAGAGGGAGAGAAAGACAACTGTCACATACAGGTTCACTTCCCAAATGCCTTCAAGGTCCAGGACTGGGTCAGGCCAAAGCTGGGAGCCAGGAACTCAATCCAGGTCTCCCTCATGAGTAACAAGAATCCAATTGCTTGAGCCATCACCCCTGTCTCCCAGGGTGTGCACAGGCAGGAAGCCAAAG